CTTCCCATCTATTGGGTAGCTTCCCTCTTCCTGTGAATTCAACTTAGTTGTCATTCAGTTAATGGGACCCAACCCCCTTTGTACTCTTGGCAACCTGCTTTCTTTACTACCTGTCAATAAAAATGGCCTTTCTGATGGCTACTACTTCAGTTAGTAGAGTGGCAGAAAGTCAGTCCTTTATGGAAGTCCCACTTTACACCATATTTCATAAAGACAAGGTCAACCTTAGGCTGTACCCGAAGTTCCTTCTTAAGGTAGGCTTGGATTTTCACCTCAGTCATATATATCTGCCTACCAGTTTTCCCCCAAAACCTCATTCCACCCCAGGCAAAACAAAACTTCATACCGTAGACTTGGTGAGGCTTTATCCTTTTCTTTGGAAGTCATTTAGATCCTCTCCCAGACTGTTTGTGGCTTTCATAAAAAGGGTTACTGGGTAACCTATTTCCATGCAGAGGTTATCTAAATGGATTTCAGATCATATTAAGAATTGCTATCAGATGGATAAGAAGTATCCTCCCAGTTACATTAGAACCCAGTCCACTAAGGCTCAGGCAGTCTCTGCCGCTTGCTTGGGTAATATACTAATATCTGAAATATGTAGGGTGAAACCTGTAATTCTGTTAATACATTTACTTCCCATTATACCCTGGTACAGACTTCCAGATTGGATAGCCAACTCTGATAATGCAATCCTGCAGTCGCTCTTTAAATAGGACATCTCTTTCCACCTTGAGGCTTGAGATAACTGCTTGCCAGTCACCAAGAGTGGAAGCTGTATGGGCAATCATTCAAAGAAAGAATGGTTACTTTACAGTAACTGTGGTTCTTCGAGATATGTTTTTGCTTTTTTTACCTCTGTCTTCATGAACAAGGTCAGCTCCCAGACTACTGCACTGGGCAGCACAGTATGGGGAGGAAGTGACCAGCCCTCTGTGGAGAAAGAAGTGGTTCCGGACTATTTAAAAAAGCTGGATGAGCACAAGTCCTTGGGGCCAGATGCACTACATCAGTGGGTGCTAAAGGAGTTGGCAGATTGCAGAGCCATTGGCCGTTATCTTTGAAAACTCACGGCAATCAGGAGAGGTCCCTGACGACTGGAAAAAGGTGAATGTAGTGCCCATCTTTAAAAAAGGGAAGAAGGAGGATCTGGGGAACTACAAGCCAGTCAGTCTCACCACAGTCCCTGGAAAAATCATGGAGCAGGTCCTCGAGGAATCAATTTTGAAGCACTTAGAGGAGAGGAAAGTCATCAGGAACAGTCAGCATAGATTCACCAAGGGCAAGTCATGCCTGACTAACTTAATTGCCTTCTATGATGAGATAACTGGCTCTGTGGATGAGGGGAAAGCCATGGATGTTATTCCTTGACTTTAGCAAAACTTTTGATATGGTCTCCCACAGTATTCTTGCCAGCAAGTTAAAGAAGTATGGGCTGGATGAATGGACTATAAGGTGGACAGAAAGCTGGCTAGATTGTTGGGCTTAACGGGTAATGATCAATGGCTCCATGTCTAGTTGATAGCCGGTATCAAGTGGAGTGCCCCAAGGGTCGGTCCTGGAGCCGGTTTTGTTCAATATCTTCATTAATGATCTGGAAGATGGCGTGGATTGCACCCTCAGCAAGTGTTTGCAGACTACACTAAACTGGGAGGAGTGGTAGATATGCTGGAGGGTAGGGATAAGATACAGAGGAACCTAGACAAATTAGAGGATTGGACCAAAAGAAATCTGATGACGTTCAACAAGGACAAGTGCAGAGTCCTGCACTTAGGATGGAAGAATCCCATGCACTGCTACAGACTAGGGACCGAGTGGCTAGGCAGCAGTTCTGCGGAAAAGGACCTAGGGGTTACAGTGGACGAGAAGCTGGATATGAGACAATAGTGTGCCCTTGTTACCAAGAAGGCTAACAGCATTTTGGGCTGTATAAGTAGGAACATTGCAAGCAGATCGAGGGACATGATCATTCCCTTCTATTCGGCATTGGTGAGGCCTCATCTGGAGTACTGTGTCCAGTTTTGGGCCCCACACTCCATGGATGTGGAAAAATTGGAAAGAGTCCAGCAGAGGGCAACAAAAATGATTAGGGGGCTGGAGCACATGATTGATGAGGAGAGGCTGAGGGAACTGGGATTATTTAGTCTGCGGAAGAGAAGAATGAGGTGGGATTTGATAGCTGCTTTCAGCTACCTGAAAGGGGGTTCCAAAGAGGATGGATCTAGACTGTTCTCAGTGGTAGCAGATGACAGAACAAGGAGTAATGGTCTCAAGTTGCAGGGGGGAGGTTTAGATTGGATATTAGGAAAAACTTTTTCACTAGGAGGGTGGTGAAGCACTGGAATGGGTTACCTAGGGAGATGGTGGAATCTCCTTCCTTAGAGGTTTTTAAGGTCAGGCTTGACAAAGCCCTGGCTGGGATGATTTAGTTGGGGATTAGACCTGCTTTGAGCAGGGGGTTGAACTAGATGACCTCCTGAGGTCCCTTCCAACCCTGATATTCTATGATTCTATGTTGACCCATAAAAATTCCATGGCCTACTCTTCTTCCCTAAGGACTAATTCAGAGTCCTGTCTATATGGGATTCTTACTGGTGAAGGAAGTGAATTGCAGTTGAAGCTCCTTTATACCCTCAGCTGTGGCGGTTGTGAGGTTATGCAGGTTCAGGCATGGCCCCCGTGGAATTGCTATTGAAAAATAATCTGATCTCACATGAATGAGAGAGTGGAATCTGTATGGACAACACCTCTTGAAAAACCACAGTTACTACAGGGTAAGTAACCATTCTTTCCTCCTATATCCTCCTATATCCCTTTTCATGGTGGTCAATTGGCTAATGGATCGAATAGTTACACACAAGACTTGCAGCTGTGTGCTCTTAAACCTACTCTCCGTGGTAGAGTGAATGGTTTCTCCATATAGCTGTATGGACCCTTGCACATTTCTCAAATCTTAACCTCAACCCGGCACAATACAACTGTACCATTCTGCTGCGTTCAAGGCCTTTTGTTTCAAGTCAGAGGATCAAGAACTGTAAAAGTATAGAATCATAGAATCATAGAATCTCAGGGTTGGAAGGGACCCCTGAAGGTCATCTAGTCCAACCCCCTGCTCGAAGCAGGACCAATTCCCAGTTAAATCATCCCAGCCAGGGCTTTGTCAAGCCTGACCTTAAAAACCTCTAAGGAAGGAGATTCTACCACCTCCCTAGGTAACGCATTCCAGTGTTTCACCACCCTCTTAGTGAAAAAGTTTTTCCTAATATCCAATCTAAACCTCCCCCACTGCAACTTGAGACCATTACTCCTCGTTCTGTCATCTGCTACCATTGAGAACAGTCTAGAGCCATCCTCTTTGGAACCCCCTTTCAGGTAGCTGAAAGCAGCTATCAAATCCCCCCTCATTCTTCTCTTCTGCAGGCTAAACAATCCCAGCTCCCTCAGCCTCTCCTCATAAGTCATGTGTTCTAGACCCCTAATCATTTTTGTTGCCCTTCGCTGGACTCTCTCCAATTTATCCACATCCTTCTTGTAGTGTGGGGCCCAAAACTGGACACAGTACTCCAGATGAGGCCTCACCAATGTCGAATAGAGGGGAACGATCACGTCCCTCGATCTGCTCGCTATGCCCCTACTTATACATCCCAAAATGCCATTGGCCTTCTTGGCAACAAGGGCACACTGCTGACTCATATCCAGCTTCTCGTCCACTGTCACCCCTAGGTCCTTTTCCGCAGAACTGCTGCCTAGCCATTCGGTCCCTAGTCTGTAGCTGTGCATTGGATTCTTCCATCCTAAGTGCAGGACCCTGCACTTATCCTTATTGAACCTCATCAGATTTCTTTTGGCCCAATCCTCCAATTTTTCTAGGTCCCTGTGTATCCTATCCCTCCCCTCCAGCGTATCTACCACTCCTCCCAGTTTAGTATCATCCGCAAATTTGCTGAGAGTGCAATCCACACCATCCTCCAGATCATTTATGAAGATATTGAACAAAACCGGCCCCAGGACCGACCCTTGGGGCACTCCACTTGATACCGGCTGCCAACTAGACATGGAGCCATTGATCACTACCCGTTGAGCCCGACAATCTAGCCAGCTTTCTACCCACCTTATAGTGCATTCATCCAGCCCATACTTCCTTAACTTGCTGACAAGAATACTGTGGGAGACCGTGTCAAAAGATTTGCTAAAGTCAAGAAACAATACATCCACTGCTTTCCCTTCATCCACAGAACCAGTAATCTCATCATAAAAGGCGATTAGATTAGTCAGGCATGACCTTCCCTTGGTGAATCCATGCTGGCTGTTCCTGATCACTTTCCTCTCATGCAAGTGCATCAGGATTGATTCTTTGAGGACCTGCTCCATGATTTTTCCAGGGACTGAGGTGAGGCTGACTGGCCTGTAGTTCCCAGGATCCTCCTTCTTCCCTTTTTTAAAGATTGGCACTACATTAGCCTTTTTCCAGTCATCTGGGACTTCCCTGGTTCGCCACGAGTTTTCGAAGATAATGGCCAATGGCTCTGCAATCACAGCCGCCAATTCCTTCAGCACTCTCGGATGCAACTCGTCCGGCCCCATGGACTTGTGCACATCCATCTTTTCTAAATAGTCCCTAACCACCTCTATCTCCACAGAGGGCTGGCCATCTCTTCCCCATTTTGTGATGCCCAGCGCAGCAGTCTGGGAGCTGACCTTGTTAGTGAAGACAGAGGCAAAAAAAGCATTGAGTACATTAGCTTTTTCCACATCCTCTGTCACTAGGTTGCCTCCCTCATTCAGTAAGGGTCCACACTTTCCTTGGCTTTCTTCTTGTTGCCAACATACCTGAAGAAACCCTTCAAACCCTACTTGTACTTGACTATGTATTTGTTGCCCACCGTAAAACATTCCATTTTGTTATGACTGCTTTGAAATTCAATTTGCAGTATATTTGTTGTGTTGTACAAGCTGTTAATGAAATATCACCTTTGATATTGTATATTATTTTTGTACAGCTGATGGGAAGTTTTTGGCATCTATTGGGTTAGATGATAATCACACCATTGTATTTTGGGATTGGAAAAAAGGAGAAAAGATAGCTACAACAAGGTAAGAATATTTCCAAGTGGAAACATGCACTGCGATGATCACTGCCTATTCCGATCACCATTTTACATTGTTCTGTATAATATTAACTAAAAATTTTAAGATATTGTTTGGAATAAAAAATATCACATCTCTCTGAAAACAGAGTAATGTTTCAGAAGAATATATCTAGGTAAAAAACATTAGGATATATAGTTTAAAATTGGAAAATTCTGTAAACTGTTTCTACTGGGAACTCCCTATCCTTTCTGGGAAGATTGCTGCATTGGAATCTTAATAAAAAAGAATAACCCTTTATAGGGCTCATGTAACATTTTTTTTTTCATTCTTTCATCCCTTGACCCAGGATTGTCAAAATCATTTAAGTCAAAAATTGTATATTTTTCCTTATATGATGAATAGTATTCTGGATTGAAGATTCCCTCTCGATGTACATATACTGCTTTATATCAAATAAGGGGAGGTGGGTCCTCTAATATAAACAGATTTTTCCAGGCCTATTGGTACTGCCAGGTCACCTGTCTCCCTGCTGAATCAGTAGTTTCTGCAGTATTTGTCCCTTTGAGTCACTAACAGGAAGCTTAGCTGCTAACAGCAGTGGTTAAGAAACTTTTGCTTGAAACAGATAGTATGAATAGAATTGGTCTGCAGGTCATATTTCTGATAGATTTTTTTATTTTAAAATATGGAATAGCAATTGTTTCTTTTTATTAAAATAGTTTTGTTCGTAGCAAGATTCAGACAAATGTTAAAAATTTATAACAAACTAAAGAAAGAGAGTCTGATGAAGTGGGCATTCACCAACGAAAGCTTATGCTCCAATACATCTGTTAGTCTATAAGATGCCACAGGACTCTTTGCCGCTTTTAAAGAAAGAGAGAAAATCTTGCTCCCTCTCTCTCTCCCTACACTCTTCAAGGAAGTATTCTCTGTCAGCTTCTCATAATACACAAATTATTTCTTTAATACATCTTTTACTCTTACTTATATAGCAAATGTAAAGGGTTCATGACATTTTTTTTACTTTGAATAAGGGGTAGCCCACCTGAAAAGGTTTGAGAAATGCGTTCCATACCATATGAAAGTTGGGATGCCAAGTTACTCACCGGGGTATACAGAAATTGTTTCTGTCTCTAATGGTTCACCAGAGAATGGTTGTTAAAATCAAAAGGGTCATCAGAATTATATGACTTTTTTTAAGGTCTGATATTTTGGACCTATCTAGAACAAATTACATGGTCATTCTAGAAAGCTGAGAATCCCCATTTTAAAATACTAATAATATAAAGTATCAGTTTCTACCCTTGATGATTGACAACACATTGAATTTAGAAATTAGCATTAGTGCCCATCTAGCATTACTTTTTTTGCACAGGTCCAAAACTGAACATAGAAGATCCCAGAACTCAAACAACTGTAACTGTAATTGCCTGAGAACTGGCTTGAAGACTTATCTGCTGCTAGTTAAACTATCCTCTGAAATATAATTTTAGTTTTTGTCCTTCTAATTATTCTTTTACTTTGTATCATTTTATCTCACATTTCCTAGTCCGCCTTGCCACATTTATTTAAATATTTTAAAATTCCTACTTATCTGTCTCTTTATACATCCTTTACATCTCTGCCTAATTGAATTGACTTTTGTTGCCTATTTCCTTGCTCTAAGCCTTAACTAGACTCAAAGTCAATTGTTCCACCTACACTTTCTGACTTATTTACCACTTTGCTATAGTCTGTTTCCCATATTGTAGGATACTGTAGAGGAGTGACTGCCTCATAGCACCTCCTCATGGTCCTAGGGCAGCCCTTCATACAGTGCCTCACCTCCCTTCTTGCATCCCCAAATAAACTCCATGCAGGGTTTTCCCAGTCCAGTCATTACAGCTCTCCTTAGGATCTGATTTAGTAACTTAAAGTTCAAAGTTAAAAACAAAGTCTTTCCTCCAGTCTGATTAAGCCCAAACGCCCCCACTCTGGTCAGAGTCCTTCTTGCCTTAGCAGGCTATGCTCAACCCTTCCTAGCTGGAGCAATTCCTCTGGACTCAGGGTCTTCTATGTAGGATCTTCTATGCAGGAGCCTTTCTCACTCTCTACAGTCTCCTAATCTTCCTTCTTTACTGCAGCCACCTTCTGCTCTTTATCAGAAACTGTCTCATTCCCTGAAGGTGGGGCTCATTCTGTAATCAGGGTTGGCTTGGCCCTCAGCCCAAAGGCAAGTCACCCTGTTACAGCTACATTCTACCAACCCTCATTCTGGCAGAAAAATGCATAATGAGATCCAATGATGAGAAGTTAAAGCTAGCCAAATTCAGATTACTGAGGTGCCAACTTTTTAAAGCAAGGTTAATTAAACATTGGCACAACTTATTCAGGGATGTGGAGGATTCTCAGTCACGTAGACCTTAATTCAAGACTGGCTATCTTTCTGAAAGACATGCTGTATGTAGTTCAAACACGTTGTGGATTTGCTGCAGAAATTATTGGGTGACATTCTTTGGCTTGTATTATGGAGGAGGTCAGATTAGATTATCATACCTCTGAGCCTGTTTTCCCTGCCATCTTGGGATTTCAGTACCTTTAGAAGTGCTCCTGTCTCCAGAACTCAGATATCCAGCTCCCAATGGGGTCCAAACCCGAAATGAATCTGTAAACTCATAAATTGTTCGCCCTCTATAACACTAATAGAGAGATATGCACAGCTGTTTCCCCCCTCCTCCCCAGGTATTAATGCTTACTCTGGGTTAATTAATAAGTAAAAAGTGATTTTATTAAATATAAAAAGTAGGATTTAAGTAGTTCCAAGTAATAACAGACAGAACAAAGTGAATTACCAAGCAAAATAAAATAAAACACACAAGTGTAAGCCTAATACAGTAAAAAACTAAATGCAGGTAAATCTCACCCTCAGAGATGTTCCAATAAGCTTCTTTCACAGACTGGATGCCTTTGTAGTCTGGGCCCAATCCTTTCCCTTGGTACAGTCCTTGTTCCAGCTCAGGTGGTAGCTAGGGGATTTCTCATGACTGCAGCCCCCTTTGTTCTGTTCCACCCCCTTATATACCTTTTGCACAAGGCAGGAATCCTTTGTCCCTCTCTGGGTTCAAACCCCACCTTCTAAATGGAAAAGCACCAGGTTAAAGATGGATTCCAGTTCAGGTGACATGATCACATGTCACTGTAAGACTTCATCACGCACTTGCCAGCACACAGGTGTACAGGAAGTTTTACAAATAAACAGAGCCATCTACAACCAATTGTCCTGGTTAATGGGAGCCATCAAGATTCCAAGCCACCATTAATGGCTCTGACTTTACATAATTACAATAGGACCTCAGAGTTATATTTCATATTTCTAGTTTCAGATACAAGAATGATACATTTATACAAATAGGATGAACACACTGAGTAGGTTATAAGCTTTGTAATGATACCTTACAAGAGACCTTTTGCATGAAGCATATTCCAGTTACATTATATTCACACTCATTAGCACATTTTCATAACATCATATGGAGTGCACCGTCACACTCTGTTAGCCAGATACTAGGAATGGGCACAGGAGATGGATCATTTGATGATTACCTGTTCTGTTCACTCCCTCTGAAGCACCTGGCATTCACCACTCTCAGAAGACAGGATACTGGGCTAGATGAACCATTGGTCTGACCCAGTGTGGCCATGCTTATGTTCTTAAGAAAACTGACCAAGCTGAATCCTGTTCAGGGGGTCCCTAACACATTGAACTGAAAGAGACTCTAAAGCAGCAGGGCCTGATTATGAGGCCTGCTGATTGGATAGACAACCCTGCAACAGTACCTGTGGCACCTGAAACACTCTGGGCTCTTGCAAAGCTTGCTGTGGGTTCATCTGGCAGCTGTTTTAACTATCTACCCACCAACTGACCAGTTCTCAGTCTTCTCCCACTCATGACAGAGAGGTTACTGAAAGTCATCTTAGGATGTCTCCATCAGTCTGATGTCATGGGCTCTCCCAGTAGTGAAGGAACTAGGTGTGGTGGGGTGACTTCAAGTTTGCTGGAATGCATGAGGAGAGGAAGGTTGCATGCACCATCCCAGTGGATACTGCTGACTAGAAAATTCTCTGATGCATTCTCACTAAATGTGCACTCACCAGCTGTGGAATATATATTCAAACTACACATCTCCAAGAACATGAGGTACCATATGGGTAAGTAACCTTTTTATCCAAAATGTTACTCGTTTGAAGTTGCTTTGTAGAAAGTTGTAAAACATTCAAAAATGTATAAAATTATTTATTGAAATATGTTCAGTCTTTTTTTTATCATGTGTTTGTTTATTGCAGGGGCCAAAAAGAAAAAATATTTGTAGTGAAGTGTAATCCACATCATGTAGACAAACTAGTCACAGTTGGGATGAAACATATCAAATTTTGGCAACAAGCAGGTACTGTACTGGGTTAATATTTTAATGCATTTGTATATCAGGAGTCTCAGTCTATCTGAAGTTTCTAGTAATCAAAATACAATAAAATTGCAGAACCTACTTCTGGATCTGTAAATGACACCGTGTTCCTGCCCTTTTCTTTGGAAGACATCTCCAACTAATAGCCATATTAACTTTAATAATAATGCTAAAGAGACTCCACTGAGCATGCTTCTTTGGCTCTCAGAAAAGATGCATTCCTGTGACTTGGCTGAACCACTTGGCCAGATGCAGAGACAAGAGGTGTGACCTTTCCTACAGGGAAGCCAGCTGGTAGTTATGAGTCTTAATGACCTCAAGCTGGACTGCTAAAAATGGTAGTGTTTGAATTCCAGCTACCATTGTAACACTTCTGTAATCCTCATGGTTTCCAGATAGAAATTTCTTTAGAAAAATCAGAAAGACATAGCAGCCTTGACTCAAGTTGCCAGACTGAACAGCTGGGTTTGTGAGTGTTCTCAAAACACCTACTGTCTGGAAAAAAATGGAGACCAATTATTTTGCATAAGTTATCATGGTTTACATTTATCCTATGGGCCAAAAAATTTCTATCGCCATGTCATGATATTGTCATTCATAGTAACACAGTATCATGACTATGTATGAAACACACACAGGATTTTTACCAGGTTACATTCAGTAAGAACATTTTTTATACTCTTCAAACTATTAAGCAAGTCTTGCAGACTGGTAGTGACCATTCTTCTTGACTGTCCTATCAAAGTTAGGAGAGAGAGCAAACATGTAGACTTGATTTTTGAGTAAGGATTTTGGCTAACCTGCTCTCCAGGGCTATTACTCTCATACTCATGAAGTACTGTGTAAAGTAATTTTGGATTAAGCCTTGGCTCTGTTAAGATCAATAAAGACAGGCAGCATAAGGATAGCTAAAACTAGAACTGAAGCTAACTCAGAATGACATAGCTTACAAGAGGCCATGCTGGTTTATAAAGCCAAAATGGCTCAGGTACCAACAGATTAAAGAAGACAAGATTTTATTATATTTCGTTATTACTGTAATTAAATAAAAGCACATGCAGTATTACTGGACAAAGTCTGGTATATGTATTCACCAGAAATAGCACCTTTCTCCATGGATAGACTCATTGGAATAAATGAGATTTATTGTAGAATAAGCTACTCCTCATTGTAAAAGTATCTGAATCTGGGCCTATATGTGTAAACTGAAGCAAATTAATCAAATTCTATATTATTTCCTTATTATCCTAGTACATATTGTATTTATATTTTTGTCTAGGATCATTCATTCTTTGTGCTCTTAGGCCCAAGCTGTGACCTCTGTACCAAGGAAATGGTTTTGGCACACTATGGTTCTCTGGCAGTCAAGTGAGGACAGAATCCTTCCACTCAGTCTGCAGAACTGCTCCATGCCCACTTCTACAACCTTCATACTATACATAGCTTCTGCATTATCGTGCCCACCTCCACAGGGGAAAAGGAGATTTGGCAGGTGGATTTGTGGAGCAATTAATTCACCAACCAGGCCCTTACTTTCTCTGTCTGATCTCTGCCCAAGATAGAAGAAAACTCTGCACACAGTTGCGGGGGTATAGTAGCACTACATGAATTTCCCACATTCTACTGTCTTGCTGTGCATTGAAAGCCCAACATTATTATTGCCTGCTTAGTATTTCACATTCACAGCAAGTTTTGGGGACAGAATTTTTGTCCTTCAGAGCACTGAGGATACAAATGGAAAATGTAGTGAGATTTAATGTTGTTCACATTACAGGAGGAGGTTTTACATCCAAACGAGGGACCTTTGGAAATATTGGGAAACTGGAAACTATGATGAATATTTCTTATGGGCGAATAGAAGATCTGGTTTTCTCTGGAGCTGCTACTGGAGACATTTACATCTGGAAAGATATTCTGTTACTTAAGACAGTGAAAGCCCATGATGGACCAGTATTTGCTATGCATGCATTGGATAAGGTATTCATCTTCTCATGTAGTCTGTTTTCTGTTCATTATTTTCATAACAATTGAGGATTTTGAAAGTGCATAGACAGGAAGGGTATATTCTAAAAAAGACACCTGTGGTTTTGTGCAGAAGTACATCAGTACATTGTGTTTTGTTAGTGAAAACAATGGATGCTCTTTAAAAAACATGGCTTCTGTATCAGCAAAACAGATTTCCATAGATAAAATGGAATGTGGCTAAAACACAAAATGTAATTGACAATAATGAGCTGCAATGTTTTGTGGTGATATGCTTCTTTGCCAATATTTAATGTATTGATCTATGATCAGTAACGTTCTAAGCTGAGCCAAAATACTGGAATTCTGAAATATACAGAATCCACATTCACTATGTACACATTTCTTTCATTTCCATGTCTTTGGAGGCATGCAGCGTAACAAAGAATATTTTTAATACTCCATCACCGCCACAAAACCTGTTTTTATGATGAAGCTGTTCATGTATTGGGAGCCTCCATGATCGCACTAATGCCTTTTTCATTAGAATATCACAGAGACAAGAAAAACTTCCAACATGCAAGGATGATATTGTTTTCAAGATACTTTGAATAACTGGCAAAACTATTTATTCTTTTTTGTAGTGTCATTAGTAAATCCTTACATGAAAATGTGGCAAATTATATTTTAATTTCTACCACATAAACATATTTTTTTAAAGTATAGTTAAGGCTGGGGTCTAAATTGTGCCCCCAGATATTAACCGACAACTTGAAGTCTGTGGGAGTTGCATATGCTTATCTGAATAAACAGTTTGATCCTAGGAATTATAATTGTAAATGTTTGTAGGACTGGGCTCTAAGGAAGGTGCTCTCTGCTCCTTTAATACCTATGTGCAGGACATCTGTAATTTGACTACAGATTTTGGGTGAGACTCCTATGCAAAACAGACAAAGAAGAAGTTGTACTGTAACTTGATCAATATGGACATATTTTATGAATTAACATTTTAATGTAGAACATTGGTATTTAAATACATTTTTCAAACTGTGTTTGTGCAGGGTTTTGTAACAGGTGGAAAAGATGGAGTTGTGGCACTCTGGGATGATATGTTTGAGAGGTGCCTGAAGACATATGCTATTAAAAGAGCAGCATTATCCTCTAGCTCTAAAGGTATTATTTTTCAGAATATATTGATAAAGGATATATGCATGAGGGTTGGTAAAATGGCATGAAAAAGTGTCAAAATCTTACCAAAACAACCAGTTGGCCAATTAAATTCTTCCCTCATTCTCCTGACATTTGGCATTAGTTTTGGATAAGTAACAGCTTTTAAAAAAAAAGTGTCACCAACTTGTTTTTCCAACCATTTCAAAATGCATTCTCCATGTTAAATAACTAGCTTTTCAAGTGCCCCATCTACATGGCCAGATTTCTGAGTAGAAGCAGATTCTCTGTAAATTTAAAGAACCCTGTGAATTATGGTATTTCAGACACAGTATCTTTCTCAAAAAGAAAAGGAGTACTTGTGGCACCTTAGAGACTAACCAATTTATTTGAGCATGAGCTTTCGTGAGCAGCTCACGAAAGCTCATGCTCAAATAAATTGGTTAGTCGCTAAGGTGCCACAAGTACTCCTTTTCTTTTTGCGAATACAGACTAACACGGCTGTTCCTCTGAAAAGTATCTTTCTCAACCCCACCCCCATTCCCAACTATTACATAAATCCACAGGTCAGTGAACTGCTTGCCAAACAAGTATATCTTACATATTATGTTGTGACAATCCTAAATAGATTCTGCTCGTAGATAATGTAAGGTACAATACTAACCGAGACCTTTCTTTGATTTTGCAAATAAGAAGTTTAAATCACATTTTTTAATCTTTCAGGTTTACTTTTGGAAGATAATCCCTCCATTCGTGCCATCACCTTAGGACATGGGCATATACTAGTGGGGACCAGAAATGGAGAGATACTTGAAATTGATAAAAGTGGCCCCATGACTCTGCTTGTTCAGGTACAATACTAATATTCTTCATCAAAAAGTTTATAAGAATGCAAGAATTCCTAAGATTTCCCCAATTGCTCTCTTTTTGTTTTCTTTAATACTCTTGTTCAGTTATTCGCCATCCCTCCCTGTCACTGTGCATTCAGAAACTAGTGTACAGTAGGACCTTGCTGATTCATACTGATGAGTTGGAGACCTGTTGTGAATTTCTAATTTTTGAGGGGGAAAAAACAAGTAAGAGCCCATTAACATTGAGTACTATTGAGTCTTTTCATTTACTTTAGTGGGAGCTGGATTAGGACCTATGGAAATATATATAAAAACAATAAAAACTAAAAAGGAGGGCTTTTGCAACACAAAATGTAATTTGTTCATTTTATTTTGATAGTTGTGGTTCAGTTTATTTATGCTAAAATCATATAGCATACTAGTAAATATTCTATATTTTATTTTGTAATAAATGTTAAGTTTTAGTAAACTGACAGCTCACTACAGTAATCTGCTATAACATCTTTCCTGAGAAGTGGAGAGACAGCTATTTGTGTGATTTATAACATCTATGGATTTAGCAAAATATTTAACAAATTTCTGGTATATGTGCCCCTTGAGATCTCTGATGTTGTTTTGTTTTAATAACTGTACCAACTTTGCAGGATAGCACTCCTTTTATAGTGAAAATTGTTTAAGATCTCCTTTTGTATGTTTTGGGTGGTTTTTTTTAAAGTCTAGTATGGAGTTTATTGTAATTTGATCCACTTTTTGGGAGTTTGAGCCACTTTTTAAAAATAAAACTTCAGTTAAAGTAGTCAAAATATTTCTTTTGTTTTATTTACATTCTATTTTATTAAATCATAGATATATCTAAAATTTCTAGTGTTTTTACAAAACATTATTTCTTATCTATATTACTGTTGTATGGAATTAGTTCCAGGCATGTAAAGCAATCTTGCAGTTTCTGCTACTTGTGTGATAGCCATAACAATATGGGGTATGAGCAGATGTATTTTGTACTTGAGTTTTAACCAGAACATTTGAAATTATAATTTTCTCATATATTTCTGCTCTGACAAATGCTAATGCGGTGTGATACTGAAACTGTATGAAAATAACCTGATTTCTGTGGTGAGTTCTGCTGATAAAAAAAATATATATGTGGTGCCTGCATCTAGCATAATAAAGTGATATGGAAATAATTTTTATAATTTGTCATCCATACAAAATTACTGTTATATCAACTGAAGTACAAATAGAAAATATGTAAGATGTGATCATGATGGCCTGATGAACCAGTAAACTTTTGTTGTTTTAGTGGAGTTTTTTCATGTCTACAAAATGCAAATAGCTAAACTGGAATAATTCACAGTAATAAGAAATGAGCTGACCTTGTCCTTCAGTAGACTCATAGATTATAAGGGACCACTGTGATCATCTAGTTTGACCTCCTGCATAACACAGACCATGGGACTTCCCCAAAATAATTCTTTTAGAAATACATCCAATCTTGATTTAAAAAGGGTCAGTGATGGATAATCCACCATGACCATTGGTAAGTAATTCCAAATGGTTAATGGTAATGGTCACTGTTAAAAATGTACACCTTATTTCCAATCTGAATTTGTCTAGCTTCAACTTCCAGCCACTGGATCATGTTATACCTTTCTCTATTAGACTGAGGAGAGAATATTAAAGATTTGATCTACATATATATACTGTGGCAAGTTGGCTGATGTTAGTATGGTGGGTCCTGCGCTTTTCTTGGCAGGGGGCTAAGATGCCACCCTTGCCCCTGCTCTTGGGATGCTGAGGTCCCCAATAGTAGCCTGGGAAGGTGGTAGAGAAGGGAAGCGGGGGAGGGATCTGGATTTGCTCCTCACTCTGAGCCCCAGCCCCTCTCAATCCCTGCGGGTTCTTACCCTCTTCCGCCTTGGGTGGGGAACCTTCAGTCCTTAGATGTTGGGGGAGGAAGTCTCCCTCCCCTGTTGAGGCAGGGTCTCCCTTACTTCAGTTCTCTGGTTTTTCAAATCTTACAACACACCTCCAAGCTCCAGTCCTTTCTCCTTCCTCCTCCTCCCCTGACTGCCTGAAGCAGGGGGTTTTATTAGGTTCCTGACAGGGCTTAATTGACTACAGGTGCTCCAATTAACCTTTAGCAACCCTCCCTAGTCTACAGGGAACCACACCTTAATTAACCTAGGGTTTATATATTTCCCCTCTACCACTGCTCCCTGGCCCTCCTGTATCACATATCCCTCCCCACCCCCACCCCGCTCAACACCATGGGGTTGGGCTACTTGGGACGAGAAACAGTGTTGTCGTGACAGGCTGTCCGTGTTGCCATGTCGGCTTCTGGCTCTATGCTGTATCCGGAAGTGGAAATGTTGTAGGGATAGAAACCATCTAGTCACTCATGCATTCCTCTCCTTGTTTGTGTGCATCCAGTGGAGTGGGGTGTGGTCTGTCACAAGGGTGAACTGCCGCCCAAGTAGGTAGTACCATAGAATCTCCATGGCCCATTTAACCGCTAAGCATTCTTTTTCTACTATGGCGTACCATTGTTCTCTGGGCAGGAGCTTTCGGCTAAGTTAAAGGATTGGGTGCTTCTCATCCCCCACCATCTGTCCTACCTCCAAGGCGTCTGTTTGTAGGATGAACTCCTTTTTGAAATCTGGGGCTATGAGCACTGGATGGCTGCAGAGGGCCGTCCTTAGGTCTGTGAAAGCTTCTTCTGCCGCTTTGGTCCACTTAACTATCTCTGGGCCCCGAGCTCTTATCAGGTCCGTCAGAGGTGCTGCCCTTGTGGCGAAGTGAGAGATGAACTGGCGATAGTACCCCACTATCCCTAAGAATGCTCTGACTTGCTTCTTGCGCATCGGGCGGGGCCATTCCTGTATTGTCTTCACTTTGTTCCATTGGGGCTTCACCAGGCCCCTTCCGACTACATACCCGCGATATCTGGCCTTGGCTAACCCTATTGCACATTTGGATGGGTTAGCGGTGAGGCCAGCCTGTCTAAGAGCATCCAGTACCGCTTCCACTTTCCCCAGGTGCGTCTCCCAGTCAGGGCTATGGATTACCACATCATCTAAATAGGCGGCTGCATACTTGCCATGGGGTCGAAGTAATCTATCCATCAATCATTGGAAAGTCACAGGGGCCCCATGGAGCCCAAAAAGGAGGATGGGGTATTGGAAAAGGCCATCGGGTGTAGAGAAAGCAGTTTTTTCCTTGGCGTCCTCAGCCAGGGGGATTTGCCAGTAGCCTTTTGTCAAATCCAAGGTGGTCAAGTATCGGGCCTTGCCTAACTGATCCACCAGCTCATCAATACATGATATTGGGTAGTCATCGAATTGGAATACCTCATTTAACTTCCGGAAGTCATTACAAAACCTCAGGCTGCCATCAGGCTTGGGGACCAAGACAATAGGGCTGGACCACTGGCTGTGTGATTCCTCAATCACCCCAAATTCCAGCATCTTCTTTACTTCTGCCCTAATTTCTTCTCTTTTTGCCTCTGGTATGCGATATGGTTTTATCGTCACCCTTGCTCCGGGACAGGTGACAATATGGTGTTGGATCAGCGTTGTACGGCTTGGTTGTGTGGAGAACACGTCTTGGTTCCACTGGATCATGTCGACTACCTCTGTTCATTGTTCTGGGGCTAATTCGGGGGATATCTTTACCTGCCCTTGTGGGCCATCTGCCTGGGATGGAACCGGCAGGACGGCCAGGCACGTCTCCTGATCAAGCCAGGGTTTCAGTAAGTTGACGTGGTATATCTGCTCTGGCCTTCGGCAGTCTGCCTGCTTCACCTTATAATTCACCTCCCCAACGGCTTCCACGATCTCATAGGGTCCATGCCAACTGGCCAGGAGCTTATTTCTGTTGTTGGTACCAGCACCAGCACCCGTTCTCCTGGTTGAAATGTCTGTGTTTTTGCCTGACGATTGTAGTACTTGTGCTTTTTCCAAATGCTCTCGTACTGTGGGGGTCACTTGGGCTATTCGTTCTCTCATCTGGGCTATGTGTACAATGACGTTCTTCCCTGGGTTGGGTTGTTCCTCCCATTCCTCCTTCACGATGTCTAATATGCCACGTGGGTGGCGTCCATACAGTAACTCGAAGGGGGAGGATCCAGTAGATTCATAGATACTAAGGTCAGAAGGGACCATTATGATCATCTAGTCTGACCTCCTGCACAACGCAGGCCACAGAATCTCACCCACCCACTCCTGCAAAAAACCTCTCACCTATGTCTGAGCTATTGAAGTCCTCAAATCGTGGTTTAAAGACTTCAAGGAGCAGAGAATCCTCCAGCAAGTGACCTGTGCCCCATGCTACAGAGGAAGGCGAAAAACCTCCAGGGCCTCTTCCAATCTGCCCTGGAGGAAAATTCCTTCCTGATCCCAAATATGATGATCAGCTAAACCCTGAGCATATGGGCAAGATTCACCAGCCAGATACTACAGAAAATTCCTGGCCCTCCTGTATCACAATACTTACAAACTATAATCAAATTACCCCTTAATCTTCTCTTTGTTAAGCCAAATAGATTGAGCTCTTTGGGTCTATCACATTAAGGCATGTTGTCTTATCCTTTAATCATTCTTGTGGCTCTTCTCTGAACTCTCTCCAATTTATCAACATCCTTGTTGAATTGCGGGCACAGTATACCAGCAGTGGTCACACCAGCTCCAAATATAGAGGTAAAATAATCTGTCAACTCATACTCAAGATTCCTCTGTTTATGCATGTGAGAAAAATAACTGAAAAGGTACGAGAAAGAGGGAGGTAGCATGGAGTGCTCTTTACTATAGACCTGTCTCCTTTTAGCCAAATTAAAATTTTGGCTTCTCTTTCTGATATTTGACATAGGTCAAACAGAGCTCTTAATCTGTTCACCTCCAAATCCTCTCCCCCATCTCCTTTCTTGATCACTGTGGACATCACCACCATCCTGCCTGTCATTCAGGCCTGTAACTTGAGCAGCATCTAGTACTGGATAACTGTATCCAAACTGGAGGAAATCCAGAGAAGAGCAACAAAAATTATTAAAGGGATATAAAGATTGACTTATGAGAAAAAATTAAAAGAACGAAACAATGACTAATACCAGATCAGAATCCTGCAAAAGGCTTAACTTCCATAAACTTCATTGAGAAAGTTGCCTGTGTTAGGATCTCAGGATAGCACCCTAAAATGGATATAACTGTCTCCTGTACAAGTATCGAAGGGTGGAAGAGAGAGAATTTGTTTAGGATTGTACAAGGTTTACACCTAGTAGTGATGAGATTAAATGAAAGAAGTCACAGAATCACAGAATATCAAGGTTGGAAGGGACCTCAGGAGATCATCTACTCCAACCCCCTGCTCAAAGCAGGACCAATCCCCTTTTTTTGCCCCAGATCAACAGCCCCCTCAAGGATTGAACTCACAACCCTGGGTTTAGCAGGCCAATGCTCAAACTACTGAGCTATCCCACCCCCCAAATGTACATTTAGGCTGATTATCGGGGCGGGACCTGACAGTAAGTTCTCTTAGGGTATGTCTACACAAGCAGGGAGAACTGGAAGTCCTGGCACAGTCAAGGAATTAAGATGTGATTGGAATAACAGAGACTTGGTGGGGTAACTCACATGACTGGAGTATTGTCAGATGGATATAAACTGTTCAGAAAGGACAGGCAGGGCAGAAAAGGTGGGGGAGTTGCGTTGTATGTAAGAGAGCAGTATGACTGCTCAGAGCTCTGGTATGAAACTGCAGAAAAACCTGAGAGTCTCTGGATTAAGTTTAGAAGTGTGAGCAACAAGGGTGATGTCATAGTGGGAGTCTGCTATAGACCACCGGACCAGGGGGATGAGGTGGATGAGGCTTTCTTCCGGCACTAACGGAAGTTACTAGATCGCAGGCCCTGGTTCTCATGGGAGACTTCAAACACCCTGATATCTGCTGGCAGAGCAATACAGCAGTGCACAGACAATCCAGGAAGTTTTTGGAAAGTGTAGGGGACAATTTCCTAGTGCAAGTGCTGGAGGAACCAACTAAGGGCAGAGCTCTTCTCGACCTGCTACTCACAAACTGGGAAGAATTAGTAGGGGAAGCAAAAGGGGAACCTGGGAGGCAGTGACCATGAGATGGTCAAGTACAGGATCCTGACACAAGGAAGAAAGGAGAGCAGCAGAATACGGACTCTGGACTTCAGAAGAACAGACTTTGACTCCCTCAGGGACCTGATGGGCAGGATCCCCTGGGAAAATAACATGAGGGGGAAAGGAGTCCAGGAGAGCTGGCTGTATTTTAGAGAATCCTTATTGAGGTTACAGGGACAAACCATCCCGATGTGTAGAAAGAATAGTAAATATGGCAGGTGACCAGCTTGGCTTAACTGTGAAATCCTTGCTGATCTTAAACACAAAAAAGAAGCTTACAAGGAGTGGAAGATTGGACAAATGACCAGGGAGGAGTATAAAAATATTGCTCAGGCATGCAGGAGTGAAACCAGTAAGGCCAAATCACACTTAGAATTGCAGATAGCAAGAGATGTTAAGAGTAACAAGAAGGGTTTCTTCAGGTATGTTAGCAACAAGAAGAAAGTCAAGGAAAGTGTGGACCCCTTACTGAATGAGGGAGGCAACCTAGTGACAGAGGATGTGGGAAAAGCTAATGTACTCAGTACCTTTTTTGCCTCTGTCTTCACGAACAAGGTCAGCTCCCAGACTACTGCACTGGGCAGCACAGTATGGGGAGGAGATGACCAGCCCTCTGTGGAAAAAGAAGTGGTTCGGGACTATTTAGAAAAGCTGGATGAGCACAAGTCCATGGGGCCGGATGCGCTGCATCCGAGAGTGCTAAAGGAGTTGGCGGATGTGATTGCAGAGCCATTGGCCATTATCTTTGAAAACTCATGGCAATCGGGGGAAGTCCCGGATGACTGGAAAAAGGTTAATGTAGTGCCCATCTTTAAAAAAGGGAAGAAGGAGGATCCGGGAAACTATAAGCCAGTCAGCCTCACCTCAGTCCCTGGACAAGTCATGGAGCAAGTCCTCAAGGAATCAATTCTGAAGCACTTAGAGGAGAGGAAAGTGATCAGGAACAGTCAGCATGGATTCACCAAGGGCAAGTCATGCCTGACTAATCTAATTGCCTTTTATGACGAGATAACTGGCTCTGTGGATGAGAGGAAAGCAGTGGTTGTGTTATTCCTTGACTTTAGCAGAGCTTTTGATAGGGTCTCCCACAGTTTTCTTGCCAGCAAGTTAAAGAAGTATGGGCTGGATGAATGGTCGATAAGGTGGATAGAAAGCTGACTAGATCGTCGGGCTCAGTGGGTAGTGATCAATGGCTCCATGTCTAGTTGGCAGCTGGTATCAAGCGAAGTGTGCCAAGGGTCGGTCCTGGGGCTGGTTTTGTTCAATATCTTCATTAATGATCTGGAGGATGGCGTGGATTGCACTGTCAGCAAGTTTGCAGGTGACACTAAACTAGGAGGAGAGGTAGATACGCTGGAGGGTAGGGATAGGATACAGAGGGCCCTAGACAAATTAGAGGATTGGGCCAAAAGAAATCTGATGAGGTTCAACAAGGATAAGTGCAGAGTCCTGCACTTAGGACAGAAGAATCCCATGCACCGCTACAGACTAGGGACCAAATGGCTAGGCAGCAGTTCTGCAGAAAAGGACCTAGGGGTTACAGTGGACGAGAAGCTGGATATGAGTCAACAGTCTGCCCTTGTTGCCAAGAAGACCAATGGCGTTTTGGGCTGTATAAGTAGGGGCATTGCCAGCAGATCGAGGGACGTCATCGTTCCCCTCTATTCGACATTGGTGAGGCCTCATCTGGACTACGGTGTCGAGTTTTGGGCCCCACACTACAAGAAGGATGTGGAAAAATGGAGAGAGTCCAGCGAAGGGCAACAAAAATGATTGGGGATCTGGAACACATGAGTTATGAGGACAGTCTGAGGGAACTGGGATTGTTTAGTCTACGGAAGAGAAGAATGAGGAGGGATTTGATAGCTGCTTTCAACTACCTGAAAGGGGGTTCCAAAGAGGATAGATCTAGACTGTTCTCAGTCATAGCAGATGACAGGACAAGGAGTAATGGTCTCAAGTTTCAGTGGGGGAGGTTTAGATTGGATATTAGGAAAAACTTTTTCACTAGGAGGGTGGTGAAGCACTGGAATGGGTTACCTAGGGAGGTGGTGGAATCTCCTTCCTTAGAGGTTTTTAAGGTCAGGCTTGGCAAAGCCCAGGCTGGGATGATTTAGTTTGGGATTGATCCTGCTTGGAGCAGGGGGTTGGACTAGATGATCTTCTGAGGTCCCTTCCAACCCTGATATTCTATGATTGGGTTGGAGCTGGGGAGTGGGGGATGATTCCCTGCTTGAGGATACATATTTGTACTATTCTGATTGAGCTAGTGCACTAAAAATAGTGTAGTCACAGCAGCTTGAGCAGCGAGAGGGCCTAGCCACCCAGAATGCATGCCCATCAGAGACACTGAGAATGTATTTGGGGCAGCTTGTCCCTCAAGTTGCCATGGCTGCATTTTTAGCCCACTAGCTTCATCAGTGTGTATGTGTGTCTCCTTGTGCTGGGAATTTATATCTCCATCTTGAAGTGTAGACATATCCTTCCTTAGAATGAGAAACATCTTCTGAAGGAGGTGGTGGAAGCCCTGTTATCTGAGACATTTAAAAGATTAGACAGCAATAGAAAATGCACTAGCATGGGGATGGCCTACAGACATTAAAAGGTGTTATCCATCCTTAACTTCTATGACTTTCCTTAGGGGCATATGGAAGGAGAAGTGTGGGGTTTGGCAGCTCACCCTCTCTTGCCTATCTGTGCAACGGTGAGTGATGATAAAACACTGAGAATCTGGGAACTTTCCTCACAACACCGCATGTTAGCAGTGAGGAAACTCAAAAAAGGTAATTTTTTCCTTTGACTGTAAATACTGCAAGAGTAATAATACTGCACTGCATTTCTATAGTGCCTTCCATCCATGTCTCTCAATGCACTCTGCAGAGATAAATGAATTAAGTCTTTAATATCCCTACTAGGTTGATAGGGAATAGGAGCATATAGAGAATCTGGGACACAGAAGGGGTGATGTCCCTGACATAAAGCAGGTATGTGGCAAACAAGGGAAAAGAACCCATTTCCCCTGACTCTACAAGTCCTATGTTTTAACCATAAAATCATTCTCCCTCCCTAAGGACATTTTAAAGCCCACAAATTGTGTGTTTATTGTTCTGCTTTAAAAAGTTTTCTTACCAAGTTACAGACAAGATGATTTTCCATATGATAAAAAGTAGTCAGGATCAGGATCCAGTGGCAATGTGAACTTTATATTTTATTCCCCCACTTCAACTTCTGGGCAGCTGGTCAATTATGGACTACATAGAGCAGTGAGTAACTGTTGAAGGGGTGCCTCCTGAAAATTCCAACTTCTATTTCATTTGTAGATTCCTTTAGGAATTTTTATTTTATTTAAAACTAAAGGCTTGATTTTTAGTGACAGACCAGAAGTGCAGGAGCTCTAATTGGCTGAGAGAAAGTAGAGTCACTATCAGTATGCTTTAGTGAGGCAAACTGAGGGTGAATCAGATCTGCTGCATAGGACATTGTGGTCAGAATTAATACTGGGAGAAAAGTTGATAGTGGGAGGTTCTAGGCATATGGTTTTGCCCCACCAAAGTGGAACCATCACAAGGTCATAAACCAAAGGAGTTTTCATATGTGGGGCTCAGTGTCTCTGAAAGATTTGCATGGTCAGGTGAGTCAGAATGGCTCCTTGGATTTTCATTCTGGATTTCCATTTTTATGTTAATCCTAGTTATTCTTGTTTTGGCTGTATTTATAGCATAACTAGACCGTGTTATTCATGCTTTTAGATAATGTAACCCCCTTCCAAGACTGATATTTCTGTGGCCGCTTTATCCTTTGTCAGTTTGAAGATTTAAAATACAGAGTGAATTCCCATGGAAATCCAGGAAAGCAGTTTGTAGTTCTACTTTCATATGATATTTTTGTTTTAACAAATAACAGTTATGAAGTTAGGCTGTCTCACTAAGGTTAGGAGGGTATGATCCCCCTGAGCTGCCCCCGTCCCTGCTCTGCTCCCGCTCCACCTCTTCCCACCCCTGCTCCACCTCAGCCCCGCCCCCACTTCATTCCTTCCCCTGAACTACGTCCTGAGGGACTGCAGGAGGGGTCGGGCGTGCCCTGCACTCATGGGGCGGCAGGAAGTGAAGCGACCCGTCCCCAGCCAGCTCTGCTCTGCCGGCTCCCAGCCATGCTGCCGGTGAGTGCCTGGGGGTGGTTTCCCCCTGCCCCCCCAAGTCCCAAGCCTGGGAGCCAGGAAAGCAGAGCAAAGCTGGCTGGGGCTGGGTCACTCTACTTCCCGCCACCCCTTGAGTGTGGGGTCAGGTCCGCCCTGCAATCACCGGGTGGCCGGAAGTGGAGTGAGCCGGCCCCAACCCACTCCGCTCCACCAGCTTGTGCTGGGGGGAGGTTCCCCCCCTGCTCCCCAAGCCTGCTCTTGCCCTGCCCCCCCCCAGACCTTGGGGGACCCCCCCCGTTCCCACGGAGACCTGGGGCCAGCCCCCACCCCGCACCACAATGTCTAGGGACAGCCCTCGACAGAGGTGTGATTGCAGTTCACCTAGACATACCCATGGTAACTTTAATCTACCTAGCACAACTACAAATAGTAGTGAAGATGTGGCAGCATGGATTCCAGCATAGGCTATTAACGTGAGTGTGTATGAATGTACAGCCTGTGCCGTGGTCTGTGCCACCATGTCTTCACAGCTCTGTTTAGCTGTACTAGCTAGATTAAAGGTAGTGTCAGTATGCCAACATGATCTGCAATCACACCTCTGATTGCGTGTAAACATATCCTAAAAAATGATTAATTTATAGACTTTTTCTGTGGGGAGACCTTCTAGCTGCAGATTATTGCTGGTTTCCTCAGTCCAAAATTATAAACAGTAAGGTGTTTCTTTTGAATTTCTTTTCCAGGTGGAAGATGCTGTGCCTTTTCTCCTGATGGGAAAGCCTTGGCTGTAGGGTTGAATGATGGGAGTTTTCTGGTAGTGAATGCTGATACTGTTGAAGATATGGTCTCTTTCCACCACAGAAAGGAAATGATCTCTGATATCAAATTTTCACGAGGTGCAGTCAAAGGATAAAATAAGTTGTTTGTTGTTTGTTGTTTTTGTTTTCAATAAAAAACCTAAAATGGAATGTTAAGAGTGCAAATTTGTTTTACATGTGAACCATGGCTGTTAGATATTTTTCATTCTGATATGTTTGTACAGAGTCTAGCACAATGGGCCCCTAATCCAGACTGAGGTGTTTGAGTACTACTGCAATAGAAATAAGTAATAATAATAATATTAATTAATAATAATAATATCAAGAATATTCACAAATACTTTAGTTAACTTGGATGTCTTTCTTTTACAGACTCAGGAAAATATCTGGCAGTGGCTTCCCATGATAATTTTGTAGATATTTACAATGTACTTACCAGCAAAAGAGTTGGCATCTGCAAAGGTGCATCTAGCTATATCACACACATTGACTGGGACTCAAGAGGTAAAATCTTTGACCAAATATGTGAATTGAAATGCCTGTAATTACAGTAAAAGTAAATGTCAAATGTGTGCCTGTTCCAGTTATGCTATAGAAAAACTGCCTCATAATATCCCTTTGTTCCACCAAAAATGCTCTTATACATCACACATCCCAACTGCAATTCATTTTTATTGATGGAATGCATACTTACATACAACATCTGTGCTGAAGATTGTGGTACTTAGAACATCTAACTACAATGTCACTCATGAATGTAATGTTGCTCTTTTTCTTTACCTGATGCTCTGTGGTTGCATGCGAGCAACACATAACACGTATCTATGCCACCTCTCATGACTTATTTCCTTTCTTCTTCTGTTCACTGAGCACTACGTGGCATTTATTGTGATGAAGCCAGTCAGAGAGCATTACCAAAATCAAACCATACTGTGATACAAGTAGCCTCATTTTCTTAGTCTTTTTCAAATGTAGATATAATTTTCCATGGATATGCCACTTTTAGTTCCATCTCCTTGTGTGAAATTATAATGAGGATTTGCTGTATTTAACAAGTAATTACAAAAATGTTTGCCTATTATACTGAAATATTTTAATATTTCACAATGGCAAATTTTATGAATTTTAGCTACATGCAGTTGCACAGTCCAAAGCTGGTTAAACATAACCTTTTTCAACTCTATCTGTTGAACAGTCTTCTGGTAATCGAGCGTCATGTTTCATAATACTGTACAGCTCTAACTTTCTGAAAGGTTTAAAAAAAAACCCCAAGTTTTGAATAAGTAAGGAAGCAAATACTGGTATGCATTCCTGTCTATGGGGATTTCTGACTGGGGGAAATTTCCGATGTAAGCAGTGTAAGGATGAGCTCCACCCTGACATCTGGTGGTGAGGTGTGGCAAGTTGTGGAAAAGAACTTCAGGGGCCATGTCATTTGCATAGGCACACTGCCCAAATGGTCACTTTGGCTGCTGTGGGATCCCCAGTGTCTCTGTTATTGGGGCAGGAAGAATAAATTGTTATTACCCTGATTATGGGAACTGTGCTTGGAACTGTACTTAGCCTTTTGTTATGATGGAGGGACTCACCATCAACTAAGTGGCACTCGCTAGGCAAGGGTCATGAGTTCCAAAACTCTGTGAATTGAGAGAGGCTGGGGACAAGTATTAATACTTGGTGGCATGGGCCCCTTGGTGAGGGTCTTACATGCTAATTGCACTTCCTCGTCTCTCCACTGTGGAATATCAGAGCTAATTTTGATTTCATTAGAAGTCTGGTTACAGGCTGCTGAGCTCACTTTGGGCTAACAGTGCACCAGCACTGGGGCTCCCCTACTACAAGCTGAATTCACCAAAAAGCTGAACTGACTAAGAGCTGAAATCACTGAGCGTTGTGTTAAGTAGTGGGGGAGCCTGAAGATATATTGTGGAGCAGTTCGCGGGACGGCTGGAGTGCCTTGTGGACAGGCTGGTGGAGCAGTTCGTAGGATGGCGGGAGCTGCTGGCGGGACGCGGAGCAGTTTGTGGACCGGCTGGTGGAGCAGTTCATGGGACGGCGGGAGCTGCTTGTGGGCCGTGGAGCGAAGGAGTTCGTGGGGCAGCTGGCGGAGCGGAGCGAAGGCCTATGGAGCTGTGGGGCGGTCAGCTTCAGATCATGTAAGGTGCCTCTTACCCCAGTCCCATCTCCACCCAGGTTGGGAGGTAAACCTCCTCAGATAAACTTTCGAACTCTGGGGCTGCCCTGACCAGGGACAGAGACTTTTGGGTCATTGGACTTTTGGGACTTTGGGTGATTTGGGGTTGCTGGACTCAGGAACCAAAGGGAAAGGGGCATGCCCCAATGTGCTTGGGGTGGGTTTTTTTTGCTCATGGGTTGTGTTATGAATCCTGTTGGTGGTGTTTCCCCAACATAATGCCACATTGTTTCTCTCTGTTATTAAAAGGCTTTTTGCTACACTCAGACTATGTGCTTGTGAGAGGGGAAGTATTGCCTCTTGGAGGCACCCAGCGGTGGTGGTATATATTTGTCCCAGGTCACTGGGTGAGGGCTCGAGCCGGTTTGCACTGTGTTATTGGAATGGATCCCTTAGATATTGAACCCGGCCCTTGTTGCTGCCAACTCTGACGGGAAGAAGGGTTACACCAACAAAAGGAGTAGTACATTAAATAATTTGATCACAGTCATCCAGGAGAATGTGCTGACCTACCAGTTTAAAAAGACTTAAGTATGATTATTGTTTATTTAGTCCTCTAATTTTGTAGGAAGTTTTTTGCCCTTTTCTCTCTCTCTCTTACCTGGCATCAAACTGACCTGTGCTCCTGTCAGGGTTCCTTCCCCACTCTGAACTCTAGGGTACAGATATGGGGACCCACATGGAAGACCCCCTAAGCTTATTCTTACTAGCTTAGGTTAACAACTTCCCCAAGGTACAAACTTTGCCTTCTCCTTGAACAGTATGCTGCTGCCACCAAGCGTTTTAAACAAAGAACAGGGAAAGAGCCCACTTGGAGATGTCTTTCCCCAAAATATCCCCCCAAGTCCTACACACCACCTTTCCTGGGGAGGCTTGAGAATAATATCCTAAGCAATTTGTTAAAAAATCATCAAAGACCCAAACCCCTGGATCTTGGAACAATGGGAAAATCAGTCAGGTTCTTAAAAGAAGGATTTTATTTAAAAAAAAAGAAAGGTAAAAATCATCTCTGTAAAATCAGGATGGAAAATACTTTACAGGATATTCAGATTCAAAACACAGAGGTTCCCCCTCTGGGCAAAACCTTAAAGTTACAGAAAACAGGAATAAACCTCCCTCTTAACACAGGGAAAATTCACATAAAACAAAAGATAAACAAATCCGCCTTGCCAGGCTTACTTATACTGGTTGCAATATTGGAGATTTGGATTAGGATGGGTTGGAGAAGATGGATTTCTGTCTGGCCTCTCTCAGTCCCAAGAGAGAACAAACACGTAAACAAAGAGCACAAAACAAAAGCCTTCCTTTCCCCAAGATTTGAAAGTATCTTGTCCCCTTATTGGTCATTTGGGTCAGGTGCCAGCCAGGTTAGCTGAGCTTCTTAACCCTTCACAGGTAACAGGATGTTGCCTCTGGCCAGGAGGGATTTTATAGCACTGTATACAGAAAGGTGGTTACCCTTCCCTTTATATTTATGACAGCTCCTGATCAAGGAGGGCTGGATACCCCTCTTTTAGAAGCCTGCTATTGTTACTTCTGATTTGATTGGATGAGGCTGATGCAGTCTGAAAGTGAGGGACTTCTGATCTTATCATATAAGCATTCAGGTTCTGAATTATGACACTATCATATAAGCATGGTAGATGCCAATATACTCTTCAGTTTTAAACCTGCTTTCATGATCAGCTCTTCAATCCTTAAATATTAGAATGCCTTCAATTAAGTCAATTCCAAACAGTTATTAGTTCTTGAGCTACCTCTTCCTCTTTCTAACTTCTCCAGTCCGCTAACTGGATCGATTTACTTTAAAATATTTCACTTTCTGACTCTTTTATACATGTGCTTTGTACAGTACCAGACACCCTCCTCAGTACTTGAGGCTCAGGGATGAGAGTAAAACAAAAGCATTACAATAAGCTTCTCTTTGATCTTATTTTAATATTAAAGAACATGTACAAGTTTGCAAGTTATCCAGCATACCAGTTATGTCACACCAATTCTCTGTCAAGAGCAACAACTACTGAACATTTTCCCACTTTGAGGGATATGTCTGACATAAGGGGAAGTGAAAAAAAAAGTGTGTGTGAGTCCTTTTCATAGTGTGACAAAGTTCCTGCTCTACCTTGGTGGGTCTTGCGCTTATCGGCGGATTTGCTCGCCTTGGAGCTTCACGGCAGCCCTCAGCTTGGCCGTTTTTCTGAACCCACAGTCCAGGTCGACTCCTCCTGTGTCTGACCAGGAGTTGGGAGGATTTGGGGGGAACCCGGGCCCACCCTCTACTCCGGGTTCCAGCCCAGGGCCCTGTGGAATGCGGCTGTCTAGAGTGCCTCCTGGAACAGCTATGCGACAGCTACAACTCCCTGGGCTACTTCCCCATGGCCTCCTCCCAACACCGTCTTTATCCTCACCATAGGACCTTCCTCCTGGTGTCTGATAATGCTTGTACACCTCAGTCCTCCAATACTCCGCGTTCTCACTCTCAGCTCCTAGTGCCTCTTGCTTCCAACTCCTCACACGCACACCACAAACTGAAGTGAGCTCCTTTTTAAAACCCAGGTGCCCTGATTAGCCTGCCTTAATTGAGTCTAGCAGCTTCTTGATTGGCTGCAGGTGTTCTAATCAGCCTATCTTAATTGTCTCCAGAAGGTTCCTGATTGTTCTGGAACCTTCCCTGTTGGGAAACGGAACGTCCCTCGCTTGCTCCCCAGCTATCTGCTTTCTATTCTTTCCTAAAGCCCCCTGGCCTGGATTTTTCTTACTTTTTGACCCTGCTTCAGTTCCCCCCCCCAACCGGGCCAGACGCTTTTTCTTTGTTTTGTTTTTTTTTGCTGTTTTTCTGCTGCCGTTCAAGTGCTGGTCAGTTGCCAGCTTGCTGCCAGCCCCCCCCATGCCTGCCCTCGGACGCTGCTACTGCTTTAGTTGAAACCCCCGGGTGGGGGAGAGGACTGCCGACCCGCTCCCCGGAGGAGGGGGGGTGGAAGCCCCCAGACCCAGCCGTTTTGCTGTTATTTCTGAACCCGTACTGAGCTAAGAAGATTCTTCTTATTTCTGCAACATTCCTGGCCTGTTGAAAGCCTCATTACAAAGCTGGAAGAGAAGATAGCCAAAGAAAAAATCACCCAGGGAAGCTACAAACCATCGTGGAGGGGGCCGTAAGACTGAGTAACTTTTGAATTGTACTCTCGTGTGGGGGGAGTTTGACTGTGTTTTAACTGCGTTTGTAGGGGCACAGGGGGTGTAGCATGGAGCCGTCCCCCGATCTATCGGTGCCCCCCCAACATTATTACAACTGTCACGGCCCCCCCGCCGT